AGAATTTTTGTACAAAAGGTATGACAAAATTGATGGATTCAAAGTGTGTGAAAAGAAACTTCGCAATAATGGGTGTCGTCTGACATGAGAAGCACACAATTATGATGCCTTCGTGGTGGCTATTTTGGGGATCATGGTATTTTCAAAAAAGGGAGGAAAGATTAACATGAACTTAGCTGCAGTCATTACAACTTTTGAGAAAAAGCCTAATATCACCCTCGTACCAATGATTCTGGCAGACATCTATCGTGCTTTAACTATTTGCAAGGATGGAAAAGACTACTTTGAGGGATGCAATATGTTATTACAACTATGGATGATTGAACACATTCGTCATCACCCTTATGCAGTGGACTTTAAAGTTGAATGGAATGATTATATTGGAGGTCACGAAGAAAGAATCAAAGATCATAGTTTTCCGAAGGATATTGAAGCTTGGAAGCAACACCTCAATAATCTGACTGCTGACAAGATTGTGTGGAATTATCATTGGTTTCCATCGTTCGAGGTAATATACATGTCTACTTTTCGATCATTCATCGTCCTAATGAGTCTTCAAGGTGTACAACCTTACATGCCACTTAGAGTTATACGACAACTTGGGCGACACCAGTTTCTACCACCTAATGAAGATATGCAGGAATTCATGTATAAGTTTCATCCAGAGATACCTTTAAGGAAATCAGAGATATTTAAGATTTGGGGGAATGCATACTCTCAAGTTCCCACGATATGGTGAAGGATCGCACAAGAGGCTAGGTGAACCAAACGTACTTAGACTGGGTTCATGATCATCTCCTTCCTAAGGTTATGCCAGAAGGGTCAATAAAAGGACCTATAGATCGAGAAGCAGAAATTGAGGTTAAGATTAATCAAGCTCGCCTCAAAGTAGAAAGAAGCTAGAAATCTACTCTAGATATCCTAAGTAATGACCTGAAAAATGCTAAAGAGAAGTTGGCCCAATGTGATGCGATATTTGAAGTTAGAGTTAGAAAACACCGCTCTATCATTCTAACCTTACAAGAAGACTTGGGCATTGCCACAGGCGCTATGGAGCAACAAGAAGAGGAGTATAAGAAAGAAAAGGCCCAGCTTATCTGCGCACAGTCTAGACTCCAACTCAATTTAAAGCCTCTATGGAACGGGAAAGAGAAATAGCAAGGAGTTTCAGTGCTTATTAGGCAGACTGTGACATTGAGAAAGGTCAAAGGATAGCCGAGCAAGATGCACTCCACCTTCAAATTGAAGATCTCCAAGAATAAAGGGAAAATTTGACGCATGAAGTCAATACTGCTCACCACTGGTTACAGAATTGTTATGACAATATAGATTAAGCCAGAGACCGAATACTACAACTCAGGGATGAACTCAACAATGTTTATGCTAGATATTTACACAAGAACAATAAGAGGTTAGGCCGACAGGCCCGTGCTTTGGCTCCATATCTACCGAAAGCGTTTGCGAAGATTTATAAGGGTCTTAAAGATGATTGAGATTCGAGGATTCAGTTTCTTTTCGAGTCTATTTTCTTAGTAGTGATTATTTCATTTTATTATTATTTTTAGTTTTTTCTCTTTCTTTTCGTTTTGTTATTTTATTTTATTTAGAGTCTATCTAAGTCCTAGGTACTTTTGTTTTTTTATTCAAATCATTGTTTAAAATATTTGAAAATGAATGAAAAAGATTTGCTTTCGGTCACCTTATGTGCATATGTCATGCAAAAAAATTATTAATTAATATCTTTCTCGAATTACGTGAGATCTGATTCATGGGCCAAACATGATACGTAGGAAACCCAGGGGGTTCGATCCAAATTAATATTATTTTTTTCTTTTTTCTTTCTTCTCTATCTTAAAAAATGATAATCATAATGATAATAAATAAATAAGTAAATAAATAAATAATAAAAAAAATATTAAAAAACTAATGAAGATAAGAATGCCTAGGTAAGCGAGATAAAACATAAGGTCCTACATATAAGAATTATGTATGTGGATGCAATGTGCATTTTAATAACACTAATCGATTTGTTACTCCATTCAAAGAGAGAGATAGAGAGAGAAATAAAGAAAGACATACTAGATCGAAAGGGAAACAGAAATGGCCCCCAAAGACGGAAATGAATCGGACAATGATGAGGAGATCCAAAACCAGATGACTTCACAAGAAACAGGGCAACAGAAGAGATAAGGGCGTTAAAACAACAAATGGCAGAGATGTATGAGGCTTGGATGAGTGGACAACCTCCACTGTCTTCAATCCGAGACTATTTTCATACAAATATCTCTCACCCTATCCAGGTGTCGACAAACAATCTGATATATCCCCCTAGATTCGGCCCCTATGCTAACACATCCAATGTCGCTGGAACTTCTATGGTGCGCCCTTCGAATACGCTTGTAATAAGTAATCCACTCTTTGTGTCAACTGCCCCGACTAACAGCATCCCGCAGCCAACGATGGTGCCCAAATCCAACAGCGATCCTCCACCCAAAGTTCGGCGTGATCAGAGTTACACTCTTGAAAAGGCCATTAAAATTCCAAGCTCTCATCCCCACATTCATCAATATAGTTCCCCTATCGAAATTGAGAAGATGGTCAAGAATGAGGAACATGAAGAAATGACTAAGAAAATGAAGAGTTTGGAACAAAGTATAAGAGATATGCAAGGACTAGGAGGCCACAAAGGCATGTCGTTCAGTGACTTGTGTATGTTTCCTCACGTCCATTTGCCTGCTGGTTTTAAAACTCCAAAGTTTAAAAGATACGATGGTCACGGAGACCCCACAGCTCATCTAAAGAGATATTGCAACCAATTGAGGGGTGTAGAGGGCAAAGAAGAGTTACTTATGGCCTATTTTGGGGAAAGCTTAGTAGGGATTGCATCTGAATGGTTCATAGATCAGCATATCACCAACTGGCACACATGGGATGATTTGGCTCGATGTTTTGTATAGTAATTCCAATATAATATTGACATTGTTCCAGATCACTCCTCGTTAGCCAACATGAGGAAAAAGACCACGGAAAATTTTCGTGAATATGCTATCGGATGGAGGGAACAAGCTGCTAGGGTTAAATCACCGATGAAGGAGTCAGAGATGATTGATGTTTTTCTCCAGACGCATGAACCTGATTACTTTCACTATCTGCTTTCTGCCGTAGGAAAGACATTCGCTGAAGTTATTAAGGTAAGGGAAATGGTGGAAAATGGCATCAAGTCTGGAAAGATTGTAAGTCAAGCTGCCTTAAAAGCCACAACACAGGTGCTTCAAAATGGTTCTGGAAATATTGGTGGGAAGAAGAGAAGGGAGGATGTGGCCACTATTGTATCAGCGCCTAGGACTCATGTTCGAGGTAATTCCCCACAACACTATTTTCCTTCCCAAGCTCCACAATATTCTGTCCTGTACACTCCATATCATGTTTTTAATGCACAACCAATTGCACCCCCTTCTTATCCACAATGGCGTGCACCAACTCCACAAAATCATCCACCACCCCCACACGTTCATCAAAATACTGCTAGAATTCCTTTCCGTCCTAGACCACAATACAAAAAGGGAAATGGCGTTAAAGATGAGTTCACTCCTATTGGGGAATCGTATGCTATCTTGTTCCAAAAATTTAGGACGTTGAATGTTTTGAGTCCTATTGAGAGAAAGATGTCGAATCCTCCCCCGAGAAATTTGGATTATTTTCAACATTGCGCATATTGTTTTGATGCCCCAGGGCACAACATAGAGAGATGTTGGTATTTGAAAAGGGTCATTCAGGATTTGATCGATTCTAATCAAATTATAGTTGAAAGTCCGAGTAGACCCAACATCAATCAAAATCCATTGCCGAGGCATACTGAAACAAACATGCTAGAAATAATGAAGGTTCATGAAGAATTTGCATCGCCGTATAAGCCAATCCTTAGAGTTGGAACTGGCATTGAGAAGTCAGCAAATGTTGTGGATTTAACAAAAATGATGCCTTTAGGGGCGGAAAGTGTGTTGGAAAAGTTGAGTCCATCAAACACACTCTTCTTATTTGTGAAAAAGCCCTTGAAGATGTTTGAGCAAGCCCGGGTAAGGCAAAATCATTTGTTCCAAAAAGGCCAAACAAACCTATCTTGATCGTGCAAGGGGCCCATATTCCTCCTGTGATTATCAGGCCAGTATCCTAGCTCCCAATGACTAACCCTAAAGTTGTTCCCTGGAATTATGAGCCTACTGTCGTGACATACAAGGGAAAATAAATTAATGAAGTAATAGATTAAATAGGAGGAATAACCCGTTCAGGAAGATGTTATGTCCCGATGGAATTAAATAAAACTAAAAATGACCACATACAAATAAAGAGTCCAGTCACTGAATAAGAGGCAGAGGAATTCCTAAGGAAGATGAAACTATCAGACTACTCAGTGGTGGAACAATTAAGAAAAACTCCAGCCCGAATCTCTTTGTTGTCTTTGCTAATACATTCTGATGAACATCGTAAGGGTGTAATGAAAATTTTGAATGAAGCACATGTTCCTAGTAAAGTTACAGTGAGTTAGTTAGAGAAGATTGCTGGGAGAATATTTGAGGTAAACCGCATCATCTTTTCAAATGATGAACTACCCAAAGAAGGTACAGGACATAACCAAAGCCTACATATCACTGTAAAGTGTGAGCTTTCATATGTCACTCGAGTTCTAATTGATGGAGGATCTGGAGCAAATATTTGTCCTTTATCAACTCTACAGAAATTGAATGTTAGTGATGACAGAGTCCGACCCAACAATGTATGTGTTAGAGCTATTGGTGGGTCAAAAACAGATGTCATTGGTGAGATATAGCTCGTACTAAGCATAGGGCCTGTGGATTTTACTGTGAATTTTCAAGTGTCGGATATCAACGCGTCCTACAATCTATTGTTGGGGAGGCCATGGGTGCATAGGGCTGGAGCAGTCCCCTCAACGTTGCATCAAAAGATTAAGTTTGAATACGACCGACAAGAGGTGTTTGTTCATGGTGAGGGGGATTTGTCAATCTACAAAGACTCTTCCTCCCCTTTTATCAAGGCGAAAAAGTGAGAATGAGGCACTGGTTTATCAAGCTTTTAAGGTAGTGGTTATTAAGCAAGTCCCCGAGGGGAGTGTCATTTCAAAACCAAATATGCCCATCGCGTCTGTAATGGTGGTGAATGAATTGCTAAAATATGGGTTTGAGCCGAGTAAAGGCTTAGGAATCTGCTTGCAAGGGAGAGCTTATCCAGTGAGTCTACGAAAGAGCATCGGTACTTTTGGCTTAGGTTACCTATCGAGAGTCGAGGACAAAATGAAGGCAAAGAAGCAGAAGAGAGATGTACGGTCACTTACCAAGCCTATACAACCAATCTACAAATCTTTCATCAAAGCCCGTGCAACAGAATCTTATCAATCATCTTTTCCAGAGCCAGTGATGAAAGTAAGCGAAGAAATGATAAACTATTTTCAAGATTTATTTGTCGAGGTTGATATGGTGAAACTCGGAGAAGGCACTAGCGACAGAGATGTGAAATTCATTGGTCCTGATTTCAAGCTAAACAATTGGGAGGCCAACCTTCTCCCCGTTAAAGACGAGTCTTGGTAGTCTGTCTCATTTTTTCTTTTGTCATCCGATTCATTCAAGGATTGTAATTCGGATTTTATGTTGTCGTTATATTTCGAACTCTCTATTTCCCTTTTAAATAGATGTAATTGCATCTTTATTTCAGTCTAATATATTTGTTCATTTTCTTTCATACAGTTCTTTCTATGCCGATTCTAGTGATATGACATGCATGCAGAATTTTTCGTCAGGTCTTAATATTCAATCTAATCTTCGACCTAATATTGAAATAATAAGTCAAGAAATCGAATATGATGAAGACAGAGTATTTGAAGAAGTAAGGAGCGATTTCAATCATTTTGAAAATAAGTCAAATCCAAATATGAGTGAAACTGAGACGATAAATTTGGGGGATCATGAAATTATTAAGGAGACTAAGATAAGTGTACATGTTCGACATCAAAAGGACGATATAACCCAGGCCCTGTTTGATTACAAAGATGTTTTTGCGTCATCTTATGATGGCATGCCTCGATTAAGCACTGACATGGTTGTTCACAAGTTGCCAATTGATCCTAATTTTCCTCCGATAAAGAAGAAGTTGAGAAAACTCAAAACCGATATTAGTGTAATAATTAAAAAGGAGATCACAAAACAACTTGAGGCCAAAGTCATTCAAGTCCCTCAATATCCTTCTTGGTTAGCCAATATCGTACCCGTCCCTAAGACAGACGGCAAAGTTCGAATGTGTGTTGATTATCATGATTTGAATAAGTCAAGTCCAAAAGATAACTTTCCTTTGCCTAACATCCATATTTTGTTGGATAATTGTGCTAAACATGAGGTTGTATATTTTGTGGAATGTTATGCGGGTTACCATCAGATTATTATGGATGATGAAGATGCAGAAAAAACATCTTTTATCCCTCTATGGGGTACATATTGTTATCGTGTTATGCCTTTTGGATTAAAAAATGCAGGGGCAACTTATATGAGATCAATGACAACCATGTTTCACGATATGATGCATAGAGAAATCGAAGTTTATGTGGATGATGTTATCATTAAATCTAAAAAATAGTCAAATCATGTGAAAGACTTAAGAAGGTTCTTCGAAAGGCTCCGCAGGTATAATCTCAAGCTTAACCCTGCAAAATGTGTATTTGGAGTATCATCGGGGAAGCTTTTGGGGTTTATGGTCAGTCAAAGAGGTATCGAGTTGGATCCTTCAAAAATAAAAGCAATTCAAGAATTGCCACGTCCAAAGAACAAAACTGAGGTTATGAGCCTTCTAGGAAGGTTAAACTACATCAGCAGATTCATTGCTCAACTCGCAACAACTTGTGAGCCTATCTTTAAGTTGTTGAAAAAGAATTCCACAGTCGAGTGGACTGAAGAATGTCGAAAATCTTTTGAAAGAATTAAGAATTACCTATCGAATCCCCCTGTGTTGGTTCCTCCCGAGCTGGGAAGACCTTTGATATTGTATATGTCAGTACTGGATAATTCTTTTGGTTGTGTACTGGGTCAGCATGATGACACTAGGAAGAAAGAGTGGGGCATTTATTACCTCAGCAAGAAGTTTACCGTTTACGAAGTGAAGTACACCCTTGTTGAAAGAACGTGTTGTTCCCTAACTTGGGTAGCACAGAAGTTGAAACATTATCTTTCATCTTACACTACTTATCTCATCTCTCGTATGGATCCGTTGAAATATATTTTTCAAAAGCCCATGCCCACAGGCAGGCTTGCGAAATGGCAAATATTGCTCACAGAGTTTGACATTATCTATATAACGCGGACCGCAATGAAAGCTCAAGCATTGGCAGATCATTTGGCAGAGAACCCTATTGATGAAGAATATGAACCACTTAAAACCTATTTTCCAGATAAAGAGATATCTTGTATCGATGAAGTTATTCACGATAACAATCAAGGTTGGAAGTTATTCTTTGATGGTGCCTCTAACAGGAAAGGAGTTGGAATAGAAGTTGTTCTTATGTCTGAATCAGGGGAATATTACCCTATATCAGCCCAACTTAGATTCTATTGTACTAATAATATGTCTGAGTATGAAGCGTGCATTTTGGGTCTGAGGTTAGCTGTTGACATGGGCATCCAAGAATTGTTAGTGTTAGGAGACTCAGACTTACTAGTTCATCAAATTCAAGGAGAATGGGAAACTCGAGACCCAAAGCTCATAGCATATCAACATTGTTTACAAGGTCTTTGTCAACAATTTGTGTCAATAAAGTTTAGACACATTCCCAGAGTGCACAATGAGATTGCAAATGCATTGGCCACTTTATCTTCGATGCTCCAACACCCTGATGGCCTCATATCGACCCTTTATACATACAAATTCGTGATCAACATGCTTATTGCAACATGATTGAGGAGGAATTTGATGGTAAGCCTTGGTTTCATGATATCAAAACATATCTTCAGTCTGGAGAATGTCCGTCGGATGTAACCAGTAATCAAAAAAGGACTATTCGACGACTAGCAAGGGGTTTTTTCTTAAGAGGAGGCATACTGTACAAGAAGACACCCGATTTAGGTCTTCTAAAGTGTGTAAATGCTTAAGAGGGGCTTCCATAATCATGATTTAAGTACACTCAGGAGTTTGTGGACCTCATATGAATGGATATGTTCTAGCCAAGAAGATACTTCGAGCAGGATATTATTGGCTCACCATGGAGCGGGATTCCATACGATTTGTTCGTAAATATCATGAATGTCAAATACTTGATGATTAGATACATTCTCTCCCTTCTGAGTTGCATGCAATGTCTTCTCCATAGCCTTTCGTGGCATGGGGAATGGATGTGATTGGACCGCTAGAACCAAAAGCATCGAATGGTCACAGATTCATCTTGGCGGCTATTGATTATTTTACAAAGTGGGTGGAAGCACTAACTTTCAAGTCAGTGACGAAGAAGGTCGTGGTGGATTTCATATATTTCAACATCATCTGTCGATTTGGTATTCCAAAGGTGATTATAACTGATAACGCCGCAAATCTCAACAGCCACTTAATGCAAGAGGTATGCTACCAATTTAAGATTGAGCATTGAAATTCGACTCTGTATCGCCCAAAGGCAAACGGGGCCGTAGAAGCTGCTAACAAAAATATAAAAAAGATACTTCGTAAGATGGTGCAAAGTTCTCGGCAATGGCATGAAAAGTTGCCTTTTGCTTTGTTGGGTTATCTCACTACAATCTGTACGTCAGTGGGTGCTACCTCATATTCACTCGTATACGGGACTGAGGCAGTTATACCTGCAGAGATTGAGATCCCATCTTTACGAATTGTTGTGGTGGCTGAAATCGATGATGATGAGTGGATCAAAACTCGGTTAGAGAAATTAAGTTTGATTGATGAGAAGCGTCTGACATCAGTATGTCATGGACAATTATATCAGAAAAGAATGGCATGGGCATACAACAAAAAGGTGCGTCCCAGACATTTTGAAGAGGGTCAATTAGTGTTGAGACACATTTTGCCACATCATGCCGAAACCAAAGGCAAATTTTCTCCAAATTGGAGAGGATCATTCGTTGTTAAGAGGGTATTACCCAATGGTGCTCTTTACTTAGCAAATATAGAAGGCAAAGTGACAGAAACGATCGTCAATGCTGATGCTGTGAAAAGATATTACATATGATTTGAGTTTCGACATTAGAAACCCTTATGTTTGGGCTTGACATTTCAAGGGTTGATTCAATGGAATCTCTTGGTTATGCTATTTCCTTGACTTTTCAAAAAAAAAACAAACATAAAATAGCCTGAACTACGTTTGACCTGATTCTTGTTTCCGCAATATATGTAGGCAGCCCTAATGTTGGGTTCAGTTCAACCAAATACAAATCCAAAAATTCATATTGTAGTATACTGGGGCAAAAGTCGTTTGTTTATTCATTCGGTCTCTCATCTCAAAGCTTAAAATCAACCCCATCATCTAAAGTCAATAAAAAAAAGGTCTTTGCATCAACCCTATATATGGCGAGAGTAAGTTGGTTAAGGGTAGGTAAAAATCCTGAATGGGCACCATAAGACAAATGTGAGTAGAAAGAAATAAAAATGAGAGGGTCTTATTGGTGAAAACCCTAAGTGGGCCCCGTAAGGCGAAAAGGAGTTGAATATAAGAGAGTCTTATTGGTGAAAATTCAGACATGCACCATAAGGTGGACGTGAGCTGGAGTAATTAACATGATAGAGTTTTAGTGGCAAAGACATTCATGAATATCACAAATTGTATAAGGGTTCAAAATTATTTATGGCTTCATTAAGTGTCGGGATTCCACATCAAGATTGAATGATCAATAATGGTTGATGTATAGATTGGATAGACAAGTCTAGAAATCAATTCAAATTGCATGCCATGATCAGTAGACTCGGCTCCCACACTTAGATAAGTTTTAATTTCTTCTTCTTACTAAAAAAAAAGGAGTCTTCATCGAATCTTTTCATTTATTCTCATATAGTTCATAATTTTCTTATACTTTTCGTCACTTTTTTTTGGTATGTATTTGAGTCGAGTCTTTGTCAAAAACTAGAAAGGAATTTCAAGACTCACTACCAAGTCTCTAAATGGTACTAGGCGAAGCATCAGGCTACTAAGTTATAATTTGTCTTCAAGTGTTGAATTCAAAAATTCTCTAATTCTATGAAGGCTAAACAATGAGTGTTGTGAGATAAAGACATTGAATTTAGGTCCCAAAATAAGCAAATTTGGATGAAAGTACAATCAATCAATAAGAAGTATTGACCGTTGGAAACAACCAAAGCGTCACAAGTGTTTGAGTCATCCTTGTAGAAAGATGGAACCACAAACCAACCACCACCTTTTAAAACTCACGAATTTTCTTTGTTGAAGCAGGGACACAAGTCGTTTCAAGATTGAAGATTCGAGGAACCTAGATGTTCAACCTAGTATACAACGAGCGAAATGGAAACCCTACAATGAAGACTTGAGGAATATTATATGAAAATAGGTTAATATATATCAACATAGCAATTACCTGAATGTTGGAATATTTATTTTATTTATTATTATTATTATTATTATTATTATTATTATTATTATTATTATTATTATTATTTTTCTCCTTGAAAGAACTGCCAAATAATAAAGATAGCATTCACAATGTTTCGTTGGTATTATTAGTTTGTTGAAAATTTCATTAGCAGGACCCTCCTGGATAATTGGATTAGCAGGACCTTCCTGGATAATGGGACTAGCAGGACTCTCCTGGATAGTGGGACTAGTAGGACCCTCCTGGATAATGGGACTAGCAGGACCCTCCTGGATAATAGGACTAGCAGGACCCTCCTGAATAATGGGACTAGCAGGACCCTCCTGAATAATGGGACTAGCAGGACCCTCTGGATAATGAGATTAGATTACTTTCTCATAGGATAAACACTTCCTAGTCTAGATTTTAAGTTTTATTTTCCTCTAAAATAAACACTTCCTAGTCGGAGTTTATGTTTTATATTTATATTTGGTAATAACTCACAAAAAATTTCCTAGTGAAAACTGGGGCAAAAATTTTATTTATTTTTTGTTTGTGGTGGTTTTCAGGTTTACTCAAGCGAAACATGGATTTGAAATTCAAGAACAAATTATTTTTAGAATGATCAATTCAATGATGGTTAGAATTAGCTTCTTCAATGCATATAGAAGCCTGACTTCCTCACATCTTTTACTATTCAACTTTTGATCAAGAAAACACAAGCTATTCAAGAGCATTTTTCAAATTGTCATTATGAAGAATGTCAAAAGTTCCGTCTAAGTGATATCTTAAAGTCAAAATTCAAGTGAAGATTCAAGTAAAGCTGCATGGATAGGAGTTTGTACATTTGTTTTTCTTTTAACTATTAGCTTTCAATTTTATATTTTTATGTAAGGATAAGAGTCGCGATCTAGAGCATCGATGGAATCTCATTTAACTCCAACTCATCACCTCATCTCCTCGAACTGCACGTGACCTGATTCCCTTATAACCTGGGATATGTAGGCTGTCCAAAACAAGGACTCGGTCGCATAAATTTTTGGTCTTTCCAATAAGAGTTCGGTCAAAACTTGTCACTTTGTCTACTTCTTTATCTGAAAACTCTTTTGTGTTTCCAGTCAAAGAGGGGCAAACTGTAGACACGTAATTTTGATCGAATTTAAGTTTTATACCTTTTTTAGAGATTAAATATTTTTTTAAATATAAAGTAGATATTTTATTTAATAAGTTTATTTTAAAGGATTTGAAAACAACAAAATAGAGTTACCCTTTAAGTTACATTTATTTTTTATTTATTCAAAATTTAGCAAATAAATTATTGATTTTAATATTTTCTTCATTAACTTTTTATTTAGCTATTTTATACAAAAAAATTTAATGCCAAAATTGCTAGTTACTATTATTATTATTTATTAACGATAAAAATTAATAATAATAACCTACCCATTATCCCACTTAACCATTATCCACTATCACATTCCCACATGTCATTTTACTACCCCACCTCCCATGAAAAACTATCAAAAAACTAACTCACAACCCCCTAATATTATATAAAAGTTACATAAAAGAAAAAGAAAAAAAAAGAGCAGGGAACAAAAAAAAAAAAGAATTAGAAAAAAGGAAGAAAGAAAAGAAAGGAGCAAGGGAGGGAAAAAAAAGAGAGGGACGAAAGAATCAGAAAGGAGAAAGGGAGAAGAAGGAAAAAAAAGAACAGAAAGCGGAGAAGAAGAAAAAAGATCTGCAAGCAAAAGGAGAAAAAAGAAAACAAAAAGGAAAAAAAAAGAAACAACAAAGAAAACCTTTCATTTTTTCTGAAGAACACACGCACAAAGAAAAACACAACTAAAAATAGTGGAGTTCGAGGTTTCAAGTTCGTGGTTCCTAAATTCTTTCTTTTCGTGAAATAGTTTCCACAAGAGGTAATACTAATTTTATTTTGTATTAGTTTTATGTCATGATAATGCGAGAATGGATTGCTATATATTGAGATTGTTAAATTTCGCATGCACTTAAACCATTAATATTTATTGATATTATTATATGAAGATATCAACTTTATGTTTAGATCCTTTGTATAGCTATATTTAGTGTGAAATTATTATGACAAATCATGATTTTTTTTTATATTTAAATAACTCATAGTTTATTTTATATTTAAGTAAAATTATTGTCCAAGTCATTTTAATTTTTAATATTTAGTTTATAATGATAACATGTGTAAACTATTGTGTAAATATGTTAATTTCAGTTAGTGGAATTTTCGTTTGATGTTAGTGACGTAAATAAAAATCGAATAAAAATGGAAGAAGAAAAAAATATTATAATAATAATAAAAAGAAAAAAAATAAAAAGTTAAAAAATAAAATGTGAGAAAGAATATAATTTAAAAAGGGAAAAAGAGAAAACAAAAAAAAATTTATAGAAAAAGAAGTTTAAAAATAACATTAAAAAAAACATGCAATTGAAGAGGAAAGAATTTTTTATTTTTTATTTTTTTAAAAAAATTTCTTTGTCCAAACAAAAAAAATTAAGTAGAATAAAAATAAATAAATAAAACCCTGAAAGTATACAAAGTAATAATAACAATAAAATAATAATAATAGTAAAAAATGAGAAGGTAAAATTAAAAAAAAAGCGTAAAAAAAATTAAATATTAACAAACGAAAAAATAAAAATAAAGAATATCTTATTTTACTCTGCTTTGTTTGATTTAATTTATATGTGTATATATATTTTAATTAAAAAGCATATATTATAAGGTAGTTTTTAATATAATTAAATAAATTAAAGAATGAGGGTAAATACATTTGTTTTAACCATAGAATTTTCAAAAAATTAGTTTAAGTCATAAAAGTCCATAAAGCGACCGTGCTAAAATCACGGGACTCGAGGGATGCCTAATACCTTCCCCTCGGTCAACAGAATTCCTTATCCGAACTCATTCGCAGACCAAACTAAGAGTCATTTCTTTTTTATTAGGGATTAAACAAAAAAGATGACTTAGAACACCATAACTCAATTCCAAGTGGCGACTCTGAAAAAATTAAAATATTTCCTTAATTAATAACGCCACTTAAATTGGAAAAACCCTTACGCCGCTGCGTGAAAAAAGGGTGTGACATATCTATCATTAAAAAATAATTAAATTTTATTTTTTAAAAATGAAATTTACATGTTTAAATTTTCAATTAATATTATACCTTTTTCGGAGGCAGAAATCTTTAATTGTTATTTTTTTTCAATTTTCTAATCTTGTAAAAATACTTTTGTTGCCTCTTTTCTAATTTTACAAAACAATACATAAAATAGTACATAATATATAAAATAATACTATATAAACGTGAGATAAATTATGAAATTCATTGTATAGAAATAAAAAAAAATACATAAATGAAATTTGACCAAACTTATAAAATATCTTAATTAGTTTATAAGAAATATAATTGTAAATATTTGTACCCGAAAAGAATATTTTAGTCTTGAGAAAATATCGTTTTGTTTTCATTTCTGTTTTTTCTTAAAAGTAGAAAATTTTAGCTTCTTTTCAACTTCAGAAAATTACTTTTTGCTTCCATTTCAAAACTTTTATTGATTTGTCAAATACATTATTTTTCAATAAATTTTTTTCTCAAAATATGTTTTTTGGTATTCCAACAAGGAAAAGAGTCAAAAATATCTTTAAACTATATGAAAGGAACAAATGCCCTTCGTTTATAGTTCAATTTAAAAATGCCATAACCGATACTTTGGTTCAAAAATCCTTAAAACTTGTGAAAGAAACAAAAATGTTCCCTATTTGTAGTTTGGTCCAAAAATATTCTTATCATTAATATTTTGGTCCAAAATGGCGTCGTTATTTAATGAGTCACAAAAGTTCATTTTTCAAATAAATATATTATTATTATTATTTTCACATATTTTTTTAATTAATGTTTTTTCTTAATAAAAATAGCAAATATTTATCTTACTTTAATTTTTAAAAAATAAAAATATTTTTTATTTTACATCAATATTTTTGTTGTTATATAAATATGAATGATAGATATACTATTATCTTATATATATATATATATATATATATATGTATGTATGTATGTATATATGTATGTATTTATATGTATACATATACATATATGTATATACATATATATATATATATATGTATGTATATATATATGTGTGTGTGTATATATATATATGTATATGTATATATATATGTATGTATGTATATATATATATGTGTGTGTGTATATATATATATGTATATATATATATATATATGTATATATATATATATATATAGACATATATTATACATCGAAAGGGTACATGAAATTATCCTATTTATATTGATAAAATGAAATTAAGAAGAAAAGAAATATTTCCTAAATTTTATTTGTTTAAGCGCTTTTAGATGAAAGAAAACAATAATAGTGTTCCTTAATAATATTTTAATTAGGGAGAAAAGACATACAGGCACCATCAAAGTTGTTCCGTATTTGCATAAAGATACCTTAACTTTTAAAGTGTCCTATTACCCCACAGAACTAATTAATTTCTTTGTAAATGGGCCATTTTGACCCATTTTCTCGTCTATGTAGTGGCGCGTGTTGCTCAACTCCCTATGATCTAATTCAACCCGACCCGACCCTATTTTTTAAAGAGAAGTCATCTTCTCCATTTCTTTTCTTCTCTTTTTGGCTTGCACTTTCAAGAAATTTTCGTTAATTTTTCTTCATTCGGATTTTTTTTATTCAGCTATGGAGTTAGGTGACAACAAAATTTTGAATGTGGGATTGCTATTAGTTGCAACCCTTTTGGAACTCAGACCTAAATAACTCACAGATTTATGCTATCTCAGAAAAAACCCATGCGTAACACTTTCTTGCACATTGCAAGAAAAGTTAATGCAGATCCATTGACAACAGTTCTTCCATTAACCATTTTCTTGTTCATCATGTTCCATTGACCAACTTGTGGAAGACAATCTTTTTCTCAGCCATTATGGCCAGTTGTGATGCTTAGTCAGGAGCATCTATAGCTTGGAAGTGTTTACTTTGAATTTATTGAACAAGAAAATCACATTCTTCATTGATCCAAAAGTTCCTCGCCAATAGTGGTGTCTTATTTTCTTAGAGAAGATGATGAAGTGGTTAAACAAAGAGTATCAACTTTGATTTTGCTATGGAAAAAACTATGAAATTGAAAAATTAGGGCTAACAATGATTATTTTGGGTTTAAATTTGGGAAAGATGACATAAATTGAAAAATAATTAATAATAAAGAAAAATAATGACACATGGTACCTTTAAACTGGTCCATGGCAGCAAAAATAATGCATGACGCACCTCATGTGCGTGGTAACAAATCAGACTAGGAATGGGTCAAAATGGTCCATTTACAAAGAAATTAAATAGTTTTGTGGGGTGATAGGACACTTTAAAAGTTAAGGTGTCTTAATGCAAATACCGAACAACTTTGATGGTGTCCTTATGTCTTTTCTTTTAATTAGGAAGAAGATGTGTTTAAAAAGAAAAAGTAATATATTTATTCAGAGAAAAATTATTTTTGACCCATTTTATAAATATAAAGACATTTATGTACCAAAGTATTGACTACAAGGACATTTAAAAATAAAAAATTTAGTGATAAAACTATTTTTCAATCAAACTATAAATAGAAGATATTTTTATTTCTTTTACATAATTTAAAGACACTTTTTAATTTTTTTTTTCTTCGAGCAATAATGTCCAACGAGCTCCAAGAGAAATTGATATTAGGGCAGCTTTCCGCTGTAAAATACAAAACAAAATATTTATTGTTATGACGACTTTTAAAAAGTCATCCCTTTTTAAAAAAACAAATTGAGAATTTTTTTATTTATTTAAAAGATTTAACAGAATAATTCTTTAATTGTAGGGGTGGGCGGGCATACACACCAAAAAACAGAAACACGAACCGAACCGAAATTTCTGAATTTTGATACCGGTATTTCGGTTTTCGATTCGGTATTCGGTTTACTTTTTTGTATTTTTTGGTATTTCGATTCGATTTTCGGTATGTATTATTTTGGTTTTTGGTATTTCGATTTAAACCAAAATATTGTACTATAATTTATATTATATTAATTAATAATTATTAATATTAAATAATTTTAAAAAAAAAGAAAGTAAGAAATAGAAAACCTATGGTCCTATTCCTCTCTCTTTCTAGTTGACTGATTTTCTTTTTCTCCTTTCCTTTTCCTCTTCTTCCTCTTCTCCTCTTCCTCTTCTCCTCCAGCAACGCCGGCCGCCGCCAGAAGAAGCAGCAGCGCCGGCCGTCCAGGCGTCCACCAGAAGAAGGCAAGAAGCAGCAGGTAGCAGCAGCAACCGCGAGAAGCAGCAGGTAGCAGCAGCAACCGCGAGAAGCAGCAGCACTGCAGCAGCACCGGCGCCCGGCCGTCCGCCAGAAGAGGAAGCAGCAACAGCAGCCGCGCCATCCGCCAGCAGCCGCGCAGGAGTCAGGACACTAGACAACAGGTTTGTCCGTTTGTTTTCACTTTTTTTAATTTTTTTTTACTTTTTTTTCTGATTTTGTTTTTATTACTAGTTATTGGGAATTTATTGTGAATTTATATATATATATATATATATATATATATATATATATATATATATATATATATATATATATAGATGGTTGAACAAAAACAATTAAATATGGGTGTAGCTTATCAAAGTCGAATAAGTATGGCTGATTCTACGGATAATACACCTAGTAATAGCAATGATCCATCAATTGGCACAGAAATAACAAAAAAAAAGAAATGGATCCTAGATCTCCTGTTTGGCAACACTTTGAAAAGGTTTTTGAAAATGGTGTATTAGTTAAAGCAAAGTGCTTATATTGTAAACAATATTATGCTGCCAATACAACAAGAAATGGAACAAGTGGACTAAAATAACAATTGACTTATCGGTGTAAAGTGCATAAACCTCCGACTGTTGCACCCGGTATTAAAAAAATTATTAAATATTCAAAATAACAATTTAGAGACTTGGAAATTTGAGCAAGAGGTATGTAGGAGAGATTTAGTTGAGATGATTATTTTGGATGAACTACCTTTTAGTTTTGTTGAAAAAGAAGGCTTTAAGAAGTTTATGAGTAAATTCCAGCCTTTGTTTCATATTCCTTCTCGTAGAACCATAATAAGGGATTGTTATAAAGTTTATGGTGAATTGAAAATAAATTTGAAACAATCTTTAAGAGAAATACAACCAAGAATTTGTCTCACAACAGACACATGGACTTCAGTGCAAAGAATCAATTATATGTGTTTGACTTCTCACTTTATTGATAGAGATTGGGTGCTTCATAAAAGAATATTGAATTTTTGGCTGAGTCTATTAGTAATTGTTTACTTGATTGGAAGTTGGATAACGTTTTTACTGTTATGGTTGATAATGCCTCTTCAAATGATGTGGCAATTTTAGAGTTGTCCAAAAAATTAGATATGTGGGGAACTAATTTGATGGAAAGTAAGCATCTCCATGTGAGATGTATGGCTCATATACTTAATCTAATTGTGCAAGATGGTTTGAAAGAAATTGGTCCTTCTATCAAAAAGGTGAGACAAATGGTGAAATATGTTAGATTATCTTCTTCAAGGACAAGAAATTTCTTGAAATGTGTTGAAATGCAAAAGATAGAATGAGATAAGATGTTGTCTTTAGATGTGCCTACTAGGTGGAATTCCACCTATTTGATGTTAGACACAACAGAAAAGTTTGAGAAAGATTTTGAGAGGTTTGATCTTTATGATGGTAATTTTAATTCTTTTCTTGCTACTGATGTTTGTGAAGATGGAAGTATCGCAGGGTCAGTTCAATATGAAGATTGGGCTAATGTGAGGAATGTCACAAAGTTTCTTGAAAAATTTTATGAGCTCACTTTGAAAGTTTTAGGTTCACGATATGTTACTTGTAATGTTCATTTAGAAGATATATGTAAACTTGATGCTTATTTGAAATTGTGTATAGCAAGTAATGACCTTGATTTGAGTAAAATGAATTTGGGAATGAAAGAAAAATTCAATAAATATTGGGGGACTACTGAAAAAATGAACATAATGATTTTTATTGCTTCTGTTTTGGATCCTCGCAATAAATTTGTGTATGTTAGTTCTGATCTTGAAGAATTACTTGGGGAAGAAACGTAGTGAATACGAAAGTAGAGGCTTACTTGAGAGATTTGTTTGCGATATATGTAAGTAAGTATGGAAAAGGTTCCAAAAGTCAAGCATCTTCATCTGAGTCATCTGATTCTTCTGATAGTGGTATTTCTCAAAATGTGTCCAAAAATTCTTTGAGAACTAAGCTGCACATGAAGAAACAAAAGAATGATTCTTGAAGTTTAGGTGTTAAATCTGAGTTGGATAAATATCTTCTTGAAGACCAAGAACCTGAATCTGGAGATTTTGATATTTTGAGTTGGTGGAAAGTTAATTCTCCTAGATTTCCAGTACTTTCACAGTTGGCTCGAGATGTATTGGCTATTCCTATGTCGAGTGTGGCATCGGAATGTGCATTTAGCACCGGTGGTCGAATTCTAGATCCCTTTAGAAGTTCATTGACTCCCAAATGTGTGCAATGTCTTATTTGTGTCCAAGATTGGCTTAGACAAGAAACCAAGCCTATTTGTGTTGAAGAAAGTTTGGAGTTTCTTGAAAAAATTGAACTTGGTAAGACTTTTTATTTTTATTTATTTATGGAAAAAATAAAATACTTTTTGTGTTGTATCTTTATGACATGTTTCTTTTTCTTAATTATAGAGATGACAAATAGTGGAAGAAACTCTTCCATTGTTAATCTATGATTGACTTGCAAGCGGTGAGTTTAATATATCATTTATTTAATCATATCATTTTTTAATCTTAAAAGTAGTATTCTAAGTTGCTAATATTTGATTTTATCTTAAAAGGTTCAAGGGTCAAGACAATGAAGAAATAATTTTGTTGGCACGTGTCTCATGGAAGAAAGTCAAGAAACTCATTATTGTTGTTTGTTATTGTTGACATTTGAATTGAAAGTTATCTCATGGAAGAAGATAAGAAGTTTAAAATACATTGTTTGTTGCTTATTATTGTTTATTATGAGTTCATGAAAGACTTTATTGTTACTTGTTAGATTGTTATTATGTTGTATTTGTGAAGACATTAACTACAAATCTATAATGCAACTTTTGTTTTAGTGTCATTGTGAAATTAAAATTGTGTGTTTTAGTTATATTGTGAATTTAAAATTTGTGGTGTTAATGCCTAATGGCATATTGATATATTGATATTTGGTAGTTTTAAGTAAATTAGTAATGCAGTTCTTTGATGTATTGTCTATTTTTACTTTTTAGCCCATTAAGTTGAAAAATCAAACAAGAAATTGAAAAAATTGTAAAGTTTAAAATTTTAAAAAGCCCACTAAGCAGGCCCATTAAAAAATCGAAATAAAATCGAACCGAATTAACAAAAATCGAACCAAACTGAAATATTTCAATTCTGTATTTGATACACAATTTGCAAAAACCAAAAACTAAAAAAACCAAAAAAAAACCGAAACCGAACCGAAAAACCGAACGCCCACCCCTATATAATTGTTTTTAAAGATTTAGACAGGGGGTTCAAATAATAATTCAAAAAAGGTGTTAAACATTTGAAATTAAATATCCAAAAAAGTGGTTAACCGGCAATTGCTAACTAAAATATTTATGTTGGTTAAATTAAAGAAAATACTTTATAATAAAAGAAATTATGAAAATAAAAACTTTTTTTATTGTCACTAAAAACTTGTTTAGTTTATGTCATCTATTTTAATCACTAGATGACGACTGCATATGTTAGCATGATCCCGATATTATTGTATTGTATATATAAAAGCTTAACTTTAGAGAGAGAAAAAAATTGATGTATAGTACTGCTAGACAGACGTAAATTGGCATAAGGTAACAATTCAAGAACAAAATTTTCCCATCTTTCATATAGGGAGGAAAACAATTGGTACTCCTTCCGTCCAGTTATGTTTATCATATTACGCTAATACGCTTTTTAAAAATTAATTTAATTAATTTTTAAAGTTAAATTAAAATACATTAATTTGATATTTTAAATAAAAAATTAGATATTCATAAACTATATGAAAAATATTATTAATTTTTCGCATTTCAATATAATGAAAAATACATCTTAAAATATTATCAAAATTCTTATAATTTGACTCTAAAAATAGTTGAGGAAAGACATAAAGTGACAAGTAAAGTTGTTTTGAATTTTAAAAAAGACACCTAAACTATGCAAGTGTCCTATTATCTCCCTAAACAATTCTGAATTGATAATACTACATTATTTTTTGTCCACCTGGCATGGAGAGTGTATGCACTCTTTTAAAGAGCGTGAACAAACTAAAAAAACGAATATAATTTTATTTTTACAAGTATTTTCCTATAAAATACATTTTCTTGTTTTTTTTTTAATTTAAACTTTTTCTCTTTATTATTTTTTTTCTTTTTCTATCTTCCTTCTTCTTCAAAAATTCATTTTCATCTTCATTGGAACTTCTCACTTTAAATGTCATTTTTTATCACAACTCCATCCCCTTTTTACTACTATTAATTTAACTCTATTCAAATTTTAAAACTATATCTAAATAGTTTATTACATTTTAACAATATGATAAATCCATTACATTTTAAGATGATTAGTAGGTATTATTTAGTCTTTGTAATTCAAATTTCAATTAAACTTTTCAATTTTTGGAGAATTATGATTTTTTTCAAAATTGTCATTTCTAGTTTTGAAGTTATATGAAAATAACATAAATAAATGAGATGATTAGGAAATATCATATAGTTTTTTTTATATTTATTTCAGTTAAGTTCTTTCAAAAAATTTAAATTATGATTTCTAATTTTGAATTTATATGAAAATGAGTAGTTCATAATATTTCAAAATTTTAAATTTTCTTGGAATGATTAATTTTGTTAAACAGTATGAATCCTATGAAGAATTTAACCGGAGAAGAAAAAGGAAAGAAAAAATAACATGTGTGAGATTTTATTCACATGGGATCTGGGAGGTGAAGAAAGAAAAGAAAATGCAGGGATGAATTACTTAAAAGTGAGAAGGGAAGATGAAATAAAATTTAAGATAAATCAAAATAAAAATTTAACAAAGTAAGAGAGAGAAATAAAGAAAAAAAAGATAAAGGAAAAACTTAAAATAAAATTAATTAATTAATTAATTAAATTAACAGGTGTCATATTATGATTGATGTGTAAACACTTATTTTTTAAAATTTGGGGCTGATCGAAAAATGATATAATAATATATGTTTAATATTGTTTAGTGGGATAATAGGACAATTATAAAATGAAAATGTTTTTTTCTTAAAAATCCGGAACAACTTCAATAATAATGTTATATTTTTTTCTCAAAAATAAAAATTATGATAAATAATAATGAACGAAAAAAGTACATTTTTCTAATTTGTATTCTTCCACGTCAACCATATTTGATTTTACAATGAAGAATAAATTCTAATAAGTAGCACTCATTTATGTGGTCACAATATCACCATGAGATCACTAGTATATAGCTAATCAATTAATTAAAGTAACATATGCCTAGTATCCACAAGTATGATTATCACTTTTTTTTTCCTTTGAAAACAGTAGGCAATAGTACAATATCTACAAACAACGTGATGACATGTTGTTGATACCTTTTAGGTGCTAGTTACTAATAATATGATTTTATTTATTATGAATTTAGAGTCTAATAAAAATAATTTTTTTAGCTCATAAAGATATGTCATACAATATCAATAAGCAAAAATAGAAAGAAATCATAAATTAAGGAATAAGAGAAAGACACTAGTAAAGAAATAAATTGACAATAATATATTAAGCATAAAATTTTATCTGTATCAAATTTTTACATTAAACTAATTCAATTTCTATTCGGATCATTTTGATCATCATAAGATCACTAAAATAATTTATGGGACCCAATATTTTTGGATACCTTTTTTCCTCTAAGGACGTAACATATATTGTTTTAAAATAATTTAATGTATCGAAAAAAATTAATAATTAGGTAACTTCTTATCTAACTCAATTTAGAATTTGTTGTAATAATTCAGAAATGAATATTGTTTAGTCGATTGTAGCATGCATTATTACGTGACTATCTATTTTTCCTTTTTGCTCATTTATACCTTGACTATTGCCATGAATCTATATTACTATTGTTGTATTTATCTTTTGTTCTCCTTTCAATATTTATATTCTCTCATTATTCAATATTCTAAAGTCTCTCAAACGATCAAACTTTTTACATTATTTTGACTATATTTTATATAGTTATTCAATTTATATATGACAAGAAAAAACAAGACATGTCTATGCAATTTGCTTTAGGTCCTCAAACTTATTTAAGTGGCTCTACCCAAGTTGATTATTTTTGGAAAAAAAATAATATATATAGATTTCTTCATTTTTTTACGGCATATTTTGTCCCCTTAAACTACGAAATCGACAACACTGGATTTATTGTTGTTGTATATGTTCTCAAGTAATGTATATTTAAGTTGATAAAAATGACAATCAAATAGTTGTTCAGACATGAACAAACTTCTTACTACATTCCACAAAACATAGTTACTATAAAACAACGTTGGAAAACTTATCTTTTATATGATATGAAGTTTCGAGTTCAATAAGCTAGTAACACTACAATAAAAATGATCATTAGTGGCATTTAAATCTTAATTACCTTTAAATATGTATTTTTAGTGGCAATTGTCACTCTTTGTATATGTCCCTAAAGCCTTTAGTGACATTGATTCTAATGACACTTAACTAATACCGGTAAAAACTTTAGTACTCCTTATTAGTGTCAATACTTAATGTCGCTAAAAGTTGTTTTTGTTGTAGTATAAGCTGATCAAACACTCAAAAAAGAATCGAACATTTGAAATAACATTTGTTAAATTTTTTACTTAAAAAAAAAGAAATCTACATAAATAAGACTCCTGTATAAATTCAAATTTTCTCATATATGAACATTCAATTTTCAAGGGTAATATGTGTTAACAAACTACGAACTCGCGAAGAATTTGTTTATAAAGTATGTGCAGGCTGAATGAACTTTATAATTAGGACACATCCATTGCATATAATTGACAATTTAATGGTAATTATTTAATCAATTTAATTTATTAGAGAAAAAAAGAAAAGTCGATAGGTCTTTAACAAAAACATTTGAGTTGAAAATTCTAAAATAGTTTGTTTAGTCAGGATAAGATCGTGTTAACCGATGTATAGACTAAAGGTAAAAGGAAAAATCTAGTTGAAGTTTTGGTCGAACTGATTCATTAAGTATGGATAGATTAATATACTGTGAACCATTAATGAATGTGATGGATGAATATAATTTTGACGGGATATATTATAAATCACAAATTTAAGCAAAGAAAAATTTACTATTGATGATTTGATTACACAAACACAATATTACAAATCACATATTTTAATAGGAAAATGCACAAGTATCCCCCTAGACAATGAAGTTTCAAAGAAAAATCTTAAGTATTTTAAAGTCCTATTATCCCCCTAAACTTATTTGTTTTGTAATTTTCTGCACCTTTTTAGCTTACGTAACATCCAGATATCTCCCATGCATCTTAACTAGGTGGAGTCATGGAGGGTGCCACATAAGACGAAAGGTGTATACAATTACAAAAAAAAAATTCAAAGGGTAATAGGACCTTAGTTTAGTTAAGTTGTATCTCTGAGATTTTGTTTATAATCTAAGGGGGTATTTATACATTTTCCATGTTTTAATTTGAAAATTGAAATTATGCCTTAATTTGTATTTTGTCATCACAAACCACCAAAGTTGTTTTTATCCATATAAAGTTGATTCACTTTCACTTCTATACTCTTTGTCTCAGCTATATATATAAGTGGTGACATCTTATTCTGGTATATAATATGAATCATCATTTTATTTATTCAACCAAGTTTATATTATGAACGTCCTTTTCAGCACCTTCAACATAAAATATTTATTGTTATGATAAATCAAAGCTTTGTGTCTCTGCATCATCTTCTTTCTGTTGTATCAATACAAAGTGGATATATATAAATCAAGCCTTTTGTTTCTTCACATCGACATACAATCTTACTCCCGTATCATTCTTAATAA